CAATTGTGACTTTAAGGCAAAATGGAGAGAACCTTTATTTCTCCTCTTAGAGAAAGTTCCAAGGCTGGACATAGGCCTCACGCCAAGCAGCCCTGCTCTTTAGTTGATCAGCTATGCAAACAGGAAGCGACTAGCCAAACATTTGGAGCTGCAGGAGGCAGCCTCTTTGAGGCTCCCTCTCATCTTCCAGATGCACCACAGAAGTCACAGATGCACCACAGAAGTCACAGATGGGCCCCTCCTCTGAGGACAGAGGTTCAAAGCCAACTCTTCTGTCTGCTCTGCCTAGCCCCGGCCAGGCCATCTTCCCCTCCCTAGCAGCACTCCTCACTGTCTCCCACTGTGCTTCACCTCTCCTCCCTCAGTCAACACTGAAGCCCAGCAACTCTTCACTGAAATGCAAATCTGCATCTGTCTCCCCTTGCTAAAAACTTTTCCTGGGTCAGGTTCTCTTTAAGGGAACACTTCAAGGTCCTTGTACCACCTTCAAGTTTACTCCCCCACCACCCTCAGTTCTTAGCTTGGAGTCACTTGGGGGACACTTCCTGGCTTCCATCCCACCTGCTGCCACATGTCTCCTACTCCTTAGTGGCTGTTCACCACGGGATTTTGGTCTGTCTTGTTCACAGTCTCATTCCTGGGACCAGGCATGGTGCCAGGCATGACTCCAGTCTCAGAGAAGGTACTCAGCCCCTGGCCTTGTGATTTGAAGGGAGAGGAAGCTCTGGTTACTGAGGACCTGTCTCATGCCTGGCAGGTCCTAGCCTTTGCAGCCACTCTGGCCGGCAGGGTGGAGCTCAAGTCTGTGTTGCACCCAAGAGCAATAGGCTCAGGTGAGGGTGGTGACTTCCCAAAGTCACTCATCTGTCAGTACTTCTGTCAGGATTTGAACCTTGGTCCAAGTTCAGCTTCCTGCCTTGATGGAGCTACACAGCGTTTTCTCTTGTGAAGAACAGGGCATTCCAGGACTGGCCTCACAGGGCTGTGGTGAGGGTCAAATGAGGTAAGCCGTATACAGTGAATGCTCAGTCACTGATAGCTATTATCAGGATCACATTGAAGAGCAAAGAGCAAACACATCCAACTGCGATCGACAAAGGGGCTTTGTGTGTGAACAGAAGGTGGATGGATAGATGGAGGGGACCAAGCAGCCAAGTTCAGCATGATTTCACAAATGCAAGAGCCTAGGGATAAAAGGCAGAGCATAGGCTGGAGAACGCGGCCGCCAGGCTCACCTGTAGCGCTGCAGCTCAGCTCGGCCTCCAGCCGCCGCACCCCGCGCTGCAGGCCGGGCACCCGCCGTGCCAGCGCCTCTAGCTCCCGCACCGGCGCAGGCTGCGCAGCACGGCCTCCTGGGCCTCCTCTGCGCGCCGCCTCACCTCGGCCTGGCCGCGCTGCAGCCGCCCCGCGCGGGCCTCGGCCGCTCCAGCGCGCCCTGCAGCTCCTGCGCCGCCGCCTTGCACCCGCCGCGCCCCGCCTCCGCCTCAGCGGCACCCGCCTGGCTCTTCCAGAGGTCGACCTGCCAGGCTGGGAGAGGGAGGTGAGGTGAGTGCCCCCATCCCTGCACATCTGAGGCTCGCTCGCCGAGATCATTTGATCTTGGCGTTCTCCTAACGAGGAGCTCTAATTATCTATCCCTATGTCTTTATGGATGAGGAAAGCTGGGGCGCGAAGCACGTCTGCTGCTCTTTGCCTGAAACAGGGATTTCCAAATTTCAAACTTCTTGGCCTCTCTCCGGTGTCAGCTACCGTCGCTCCAGGATTTGCCGAACAGCTTCAGCACCTGAGACTAGCATTCCCGCCCTCCCTGGCATCTGCTCGCTGGGCTGGCGCTCCTCGCGGTGGAAGTTTTGTGTCTTTACTGCTTCCCAAAGCCTACTCCAGCCTGGCACAGGGTGCCCAACAAACGCCTCAGAACGAGTGACGGGGCGATCTATGTAGCCTCCTCTCAGGAACCCTACATCTGACCAGTGTGATTTGTCGCCGTCAGTGCATTCCCCCACCCCCGCTTAGCCGGCACCGGTGCCACCTGCTCTTCCCCTACCACACATGGCCCCTGGAAGCTACTCTTCGGATCTGATGACTGGGCTAAGGTGTTGTGTATGGGGGGGGGGTGGCGATATAATGTCAGCTTTCTCCTGGTTACCTTAGGGTCCTTTTGGGGTAGAGGATCTTCCGTCCTCCTTTGGCCCTTGGCACCCAGCACTGCTGTTGGCACACGACTGGACACAGTGCTGTGTGTTTATCGACTGATCCCAGAAACCAGGACCGGGTCGGTAGCTCGTCCAGTGACTTGTTCTCAATAGCTTAGAGTGGGTCTGGTCCCCACAGGGACTTGGTGGCCAATCACTGTCTGGGCCACCGTGTTAGTCACCCTGGTTAATTCTCACTTGGGCTCTAGGCCTGGTCCTGAGAGATTCCGTTAGGCAGGGAGCCCCTTAAGGGTGAGGTTGGGCCTTCTTCACTTCTCTTGCCCTGAACCCAGAAGCTTGGCACAAAGGAGCGAGAAAGATGCTTGTCGAATAACTGAATACACCACCGCCCAGAGAGGCTCAATGGGCGAGGCGGAAAAGAAGGATTGTGAATGGCATTCATCTTCTGTGCAGTTCCATACAGGTGTCTTTGTAGAAAGTTCTTGGTAATGTTTGGTGTGGTGGTGGTGTTGTACATGTGAATATTTACATAACATGCTCCAATGTGCTTCCTCCACTCTGTTTAGTGATTGGTCCTGCCTGATAGGCTGTGAATATCAGTTTCTCACTTTTCTAATCAATGATGCAGTGAACATCCTGTACACCAGTGGTTTTCTAAGGTACAAGCCAAGAAGTGAAATTGGTATAAAACTTTTTGTGAAATCGCCATTACTTTTATCATTTAAAAACAAACCTAAAAAATGTCCAAAATGGTTTGGAGGCAGAGCACCTAACTCCCTCCCTGTAGGTAGGAGTGTTCAAGAATGAGTAGGAATTTGCCAAAAGGACAAATGTTTCTGGTGCATAGTGGCAGAGGAAACAAATTCTTACTTTTTTCAAATGGTGGGGTTTAACATCTAAAACCAGAGTTATACACAAAGCCAGATTCTACCATGTTATAGGCAAGGATGTTCCCAGAGCAGAACATACCTCAGTACAGCAGTTGACAAAGGGGTCACTACTTTGTCCTGTTTGGCTGTTCGAAACCAGTCAGGAGAAAAGTCACCTGGTGGCCCGCACCTGTGGTAGGAGCTACTGAGAGGCCTAGGGAAGACCCTGCCTGGAAAATAATTAAAGCAAAAAGGGAGTGGTGTGGCTCAAGTGGTAGAGCTCCTGCTTAGCAAGCACGAGGCCTGAGTTCGAATTCCAGGACAGCAAAGAAAAAAAAAGTGGTGGGAGCTGATGGAGCAGGTAGGGAGGATGCAGCAAACCCCTCCCTGCATACTATGGGTCCAGATCAGGGCTCAGAGTAGGAGTTCCTTAAAAGATTGCGTGAATGAACTAATGAATGAGTGAATGCAAGTGGTGTCTGAGAGTGTACACATCTGCTCACCAGAACTCATTTGTGCTCAAAGGCCTGGTGGAAGGGGAGCCCCGCCCCGCGAGCCCCGCCCCGGCCTCCGGTTTCCGGGCAACTGAGAAACAAAAGGGCGCTGCTCCCCTAGGACTCTCGGCGCGCGCTCCGCGAGGCTCCTGGAGCCTCCCGCGCGGGGCAGGCGTGGGATCTGACGCTAGGGTCTGAACTGCGGCCCAGCGCGCCCACTCGCAGGTACCCCTCGACCCTGACCCCAGCGGGGACCCCCCAGCCGGACGTCCCTTCTTGACTCCTCGCCTCGCGGGGCTCCAGCAGCCTTCTGAGCGTTAGCGCGGGTTCTGCCTCCAAGAACCTTGGGCTGTGCCCTGAGCCCAGCGAACACATTCGTCTTCGTGGGGGTCTCGCCAGGCGCCTGCCCGTGCTGTCCTCGGCATGGTTTCCCTTGCCCCAGAGGACAGGCGCCTGTTGTGCTGGGGAGCATCGTCCCCGAGCCCGCCTTGCGTCACCTCCCCAAGCCCTCTCGCCTCCGGGACGGGGCTCACCGGGCCAGGCCCTCCAGAGGCGCCCAATGACCGGCTCGGCTCGGGTCGGGAATCGGGTAGCTCATGATAATGCAGGCGGCCACTCTCTCCGAATCTGTTGTGTGTCTACTGTCCAGACCTGGGTAGTTCGTGGGAGGAGGCAGAGAAGGGAGTAAAAGTGGGTTTTCCTGCAGGCGGCCGCCTGGCTCCCACAGCAGAGGGTGATGGAGTCATTATTCTCCACAGGCAGCACTGCCAGTCGGCGCTGCCAGCATGTCGCTGCACGCCTGGGAGTGGGAGGATGAGGACCGGGCAAGCATGGAGCCCATGTCCTCCCTGGCCAGCCTTTACCAGTCACTGAGCGACTGTGATATGGAGGAGTACCTGAGGGCCAGGGCCAGGGCCCAGGAGTCTGACTCTGATGACCAGTACAGCAGCATGGGGTCCTTCGTGGAGACTGCCAGCACCTTTGACTCCGACGTGCCCCACGTTGTCCCCTGCAAATTCATTATCTCGCTGGCCTTCCCGGTTAATGTAGGTAGGTGCTAAAGCAGAATTTCAGCATCCTCTGCCAACGGGGGTGCCCTACTGACCTGCATCTTTCTTCTGCCCTCCCCATATGGGGTGGTTGATGCCAGCTGGGATCACAGGTCAGAAAAATAACAGCAAGTTTAGCAGAGCTCAAGGATGGGCTAGGCATGTGCATGGCTCTGTGGCTTCACTGTACTTCATCCTCTCAAAGCCCTAAGAAGCAGGTGATATGCCATCTGGTTTTTATGGACAAAGAAACCACAGAGAGGTTAAGGCATTGGTCTTGTGCATCACCCAATACCTCGTTTAAAATACATCTGAGATCCACTGAATCAAAATCTCTGAGTACAAGATGTTGATTTAGTTATTGCCACAAAACAAGCCCTGAACTCACTGACTGCAAACAAGAACCTGTTGTTCCCTGTATGTTCAGGGCATGGATCCAGGTTGGGCTTTGGGATGGTGGTTCTGCTCTGTCCATGTGTCTTCCATCCTCCTCCCAGATAGCTGCTTGTCATGCAAAGGCAGGTGCACACAGAGGGTAAGCTCATTTCCACAAGCAAGTGTCTCGGTGACTCCTACCTGCTAATGTCTCTTTGACCAAAGCAAGTCACATAGTTCAACATTAGGGGCAGATTGATAGACTTTGATCCATCCTCCCTTTCTTCCTTCCCTTCCCTTCTCTATTTAACTGTCCCTCATGGTGACTGATTTCAGCTTCTCCTTGCAGCTTGTTCTCTTATTGCTTCAGATATTTTGGAAGCTGTTTGATTAGTTGGTGTAGAACATATTTACAATTGCTCCATTTCCTTGGTGTGTGGAACTTTTTGTCATTATGTGATGACCTCTTCTTTCCATAGATTGAACCCAGGTCCTCACACATGCTAGGCATGCACTCTACCACTGAGCTATACCTCAGCCCTATTCTACCCCTTTTTGGTGGATATTTAAGGTACTATTGTGCAACAGACATCCTATACATATATTTTTGTGCATACCCATGTGTGGGTACTTCTGTAGCATGAATTCCAAGAGCTCTTGGGTTAAAGGTATGCCCTTAAAGTTGTTTGACAGTTACTGTTAAGTTGACCTCCAAAAGGGTTATAATAATTTGCTCTTCCATCAACAGAAAATGAGAGGCTCTGTCCACTCTACCTTGGATCAAATCAGAACATAGGCCACAAGCTTTCGGGGCAGAAAGCTTCACAGAAAAGTGTGCTGGCTACCTAGGACTGGCAGGTGGTGCTCTACTCCAAGCTGTGTACAAACACTAGCTATTCTGTCCATACAGTAGCAGTTTCCTGGTTAAAAAATTAGACTTTAAATCTACAACATGTAGTGGGGGTGTAGCTGGGTGGTAGAATTGCATGCCTAGCATGTGTAAGGTCCTGGATTTCATCCCTAACACCCTAAAAAGCAAAACAAAAGCCCTGAAAAAGTGCAAAAAAATGCCCCTCCCAGTCCCCAAACAAACATATTCTGCCCCCCTCCTCCCCAGAAAACCAGCTTTTAAAAACAGTCATGGGCTGGCAGAGTGGCTCAAGTGGTAGAGCACATGCCTAGCAAGCACAAGGCCATGAGTTCAAACTCCAGTACTGCCAAAAAAAAAAAGTCACATAAAAGAATCCTATTTTGGTGGAATGAAATTTGGATCAGATACTTATGGAGAGCAGGGTCTGGGGGTGCATGCCTGTAGTACCTGGGAGGCTGAGGTAGGAAGTCACTTGAGCCCAGTTTGAACAACGTAGTGAGACCCTCCATCTCAAAAAAAAAAAAAAGTCCCAAACAAATATTTGTGGAGTTCATATAGTGTGAAAATTTCCAATGTAGACAGTTCCGTTGAAGCTTGTGGCAGACAGTGGGGCGCCTTAGGCTCTGGCCTCTGGCAGCATTTCTCATGGGGTTTTTGCTAGGCATATCTGCCAACTTCACTCCAGAAGACTCTGCTAAGGTCCTGGGGAGACTGCACTCACCATCCCAGGCAGAGTTATTCGCACTGCCTCACTGTATCTCAGAACCCCTGTTCAAACTGCTGCTACCATACGAGTCATGTTGTATTTATTTGGTTTTGACTCATTTCTTAGAGCTGGGCCTAGAGTGAGACGAGCGAGGCTACCAACATGAAACACCTCAGGAGATACCTCTCTCAGAACTATGCACTTAAATGTTGCATGCTGGTGCCCAGTCTGGCTCTGCTACTCTGTTGGCCAGGACTGGAACTTATCTTCTCCTCCAAGCTAGTGGGTGAACAGCACAGGGCTACACAGCCTCCCACAGCCCCAGGCTCTTTGTGTTAGTCAGTTTTCCATCACTGTGACAAAACCTGAGATACTCAACTTATAAGGAGGAAAAGGTTGTTTTGGTCATGGTTTCAGAGGTTTCAGTCACTTGACTCTGTTGCTTTTGGGCCTTTGGTGAGGCAGAACATCTTGGTGGGAGTGGGAGGGGAGGAAACTGCTCACCGCATGTCAGCCTGGAGGGCAGAAAGAAGGGAGAGGCTCAGTCCCACTAACCCTCCAAGGGCACACCCCAGTGACTTAACTTACCTCCACTAGGCCCACCTCCTAAAGGTTCCATCACCTCCCAGTGGCACTACAGACTGAAGCAAGCCTTTAACACATGGCCTTTGGGGGCCATTTCCAAACCATGGCACTCTGTCTTGCCTCCAGGGAGCTGTGGTGACAGAACAAGTCCATTAAATCTCTCTCTTCTAGGTCAAAAAGGAAAATTCACAAATGTCACTGATAAATATAAGAGACACTTTAAAGTGGAAAGCCGTGTTGCAAAGGCTCGCCGTTTCTACCACATCGAATATTTCATCCTGCCCGACGATGAAGAACCTAAAATAGTCGATATAGTGCTATTTCCAACAGTGGCCAAAGTATTCCTGGAGTCAGGAGCAAAGGTACAGGGTGTGTGGTATTCATAGCACAGAGTGTATTCCATGGACCTGAAGTATACACAGCCCTGGAGTTTGCTAGAAGTGCAGGATCCTGGGGCCACCCCAGACTTCCTGAGTGAGAATCTGCACTCACCTAAGAATGAGTAGCACTCAGCTGCATGATTTTTCCTTTAGGTACTTTTACTCCATAATTTCCTGAGTATTTCAAAAGTTTCAGCAGCTCTTACAACTTCTTTCTTTGTGTGTGCGCCTGTATGTGTATACCTACTCATGTGTGCATGACTGTGTGTATACATGTGCAAGCACACCCCTGCCAAGGGTTTGGCTCTGGGTCGTTGCTTAGAAGTAACCAGAGAGGACACTATTTATGGGAATTTGCTTTGCTTTTTATTTTTTCTGAGGAACCCAGAGGCCTGAGGGGACCTCATGTCCCACTGTGAGTTCAGAGCCAAGAGAGGCAGGCATAGAAGCCAGACAGGCAAGGATGGCATGCTGGCTCCATTGCTGATGGGCCAGGCTGATGGGGCTACCTAGCTCTGCACACTGCTCCTCCTCCCCACAGTTAGTCTCGAAAGGTATTGTTTCACAGACCATGAAGCCTTGGCGAGAAGGTAACAAAATCTGGGTGTCATAGAGCCAAACTTTTAATATCAACGTGACAAAGGAATTATTAAAGAAAATAAATTTCCACAAGGTCATCTTGAGGCTCTGGGACACCAAGGACAAGGTTTCGAAGAAAGTCAGGTATTATCGACTAAAGGCCACCGGTTATTCTGAGGACACAGGATCTTATGGTAAGTCTGAGATTTTGGTTTTATTTGAAATGTTGCTGGAGATGTGATTTTTCAGCACGTGTAGAGCATCCTTCATCCAGAAATCTGAAATCCAAAGAACTCTAGAGTTTAAACAGCATCTCTGATGCCTCAAGCAGAAAGTTCCACAGCCCACTCCAGGTGACAGGTCAGTAAAAATGCAGGTGCACCAAAAATACTGTATGAAATTACCCTCAGAACATGTGTATATGGCATGCAGGCAGCATAAATGAACCTCGTGTTAGACTCAAGCTCCATCCCCAAGACATCTCGTATATGTGTGTGTTTGTGTTACATATGTGTAAACACTCCAAAATCTGAAAAAAAATCCTGAATCCCAAGCATTTTAGATGAGGGATATTATAGTTCTGGAATAAAAGCCAGAATTCCTTCATGTGTACACACACCATCCCTCCAGCATGTGCTCTGGTGTGGGAAGAGCCTCCCTACGCAAGGTGCATAGTGTCTGTGTGCCTCCAACACCTTTCAGAACACTTTGTCCACATCAGGGCAGCTCTGACATGGTCCACATCAATTGTCTGTCTCCCTGGACTAATATTGTATATTCACAGAAAAAAGTTAGAGAATAACAAAAAACAAAGGACAAAATTTGGATAGGAGCTTTACTCAGTGGTAGAGCACCTTGGTTCGATCCCCACCAGGAAAACAAGAGACAAAGGGAGAGAAAAAAGAATAAAAAATTCTTCCATTTCAAGACAACCGTACTAACATTTTTATGTAGCCCTTTCTAGACTTTTTCTTTTCTTTTTGAAGTGGTGCTGGGGCTTGAACCCAGGGCCTCATGCATGCTACGCAAGTGCTCTACCACTGAGATACACTTCAGTCTCTCACCCTTTTTAAGGTTTATTTTGAGACAGGATCTTTCTAAGTTGCTCAGACTGGCCTTGAACTTTTGATCCTCCTGCCTCTACCTTCCGAGTAGTGGGATTGTAAGTGTGAACCACCTTGTCCGGCTCATTCTAGATGGTTACTTGTACAAATATGGCAATGTCAGAGTCTCTGAACTGTCCTGGAGGGAATGAGCCTGGAGGGGTGAGAAGACCCAAGGTTTGAAGTCAATATTGTCTCTGTCTTGTACTAGCTGGTTGCCATGGGCAAGTCCATGAACATCTGTTTCTCATCTGTAAAACGGGGAAGATGAATAGGACCTACTCCTACTCCGCTGGCAGCCCAGACAAGGTGGTGGGAGCGGCCCATTCTCATGCAAGCTTGTCCATGAGAATTTAAAACCGAATGAAGGTGCACTTGATGTTCAGAGCTGTTAGGAGACATGCGTATTGGAGGTCTGGCACTGTTGCTGTGCTTGGCTTCCAGGCAGCATAACGAGCCTCACTTTGCTGTGAGCATCTGAGACCCTCACTTGCAATGGGGTAGCAGAATCGGATCCCAATTTTGTGTGACCAGGAAACTGGTTTTCTCCAGTTTTCCAGCCTCCTTGAGAGGCCACTCTCACACCGTGATCTCAGGACTTTAGTGTTTCATCTGTACTGTTGCCACTGGGCCAGGCCATTCCTCATTGTGTGGCTTTCCTGCAGATGATAGGGGCTCTTCTCACCAGAGGGCCATGTCAGACTCCCAGGATGGCAATGAAAACCTGCAGATATTGCCAGATGTCCCTAGGGACCAAAATCACCCTGAGTGATTTAAATCTGAACTACTAATTGTAGGGTCCCTGTGTGAGAAAATGGGACACAGGTAACTTTTCTCACCTGCACCAAATGAAAGTCTCATGTTCTCAAAGTGTGGGCTTCTAGTAAGCTGGCAGACACACCCTTGGCTGGTTTGAGGACCCAACCTGAACAGCTGGGCCACAATTTGTGGTCCACATCTGCCCCGGCCTGGGCTCACATTGGAGCAGGAGGCCAGGGTATCAGGAAAGCTTTCTGGAGAAGGGGCCATGGGAGACAAGTTGGGAAGGATCAGCTACACTCTGAGCCCTGCAGGGAGAGCCTGGGGCCTGCTGAATGAGCCTGAGACCAGAGCCCCAGCCATTCCTCACAGCTTCCAGTTTCCTCACAGCCTCCAGTTTGGCATCATGGCCTCTTACTTTAAATACGTTTTTCTCATGAAAAGAGCTGTTATATTCACCTCATAAAAACAATTTAGGAATAGATGACAGAAAGGAGAAGAAACATATGCCTGTCACCATTACCTGCCTTCCATGGGTCTAGTGCACCTGTCTTAAACCCTGCCTTTTGACACTGGCATAGATACCTTATAGGCACTCATTTCTCAGGAGTACAGAAATACCTTAAGAGGTCTATTTCATTACAGAGGACAGGAAATTTATCTGGTAGGTCGTCTCAGAGGCTGATGGCCTTAATGCAATCCCTATAGGGCCAGCATTTCACTTTGCTTCCATCTGTTCAGCCTCTTGGTTTCTCAATGCTGGAGGAAGGTGATATCATTCTTAACCCTCTAAATCTCAGTTCTTGACCCCTCCCCCAACACCTGCTTGGTATTCCTGCCTAATTTGTTTTTTAGTTCTCCACCCAGCCACTATCTCTTCCTCTGCTCCTGGCTCGCTCTACACCTGGTTTTTGCCTGTCTCCCTTGCCACCATGGCCTGACCTTCCTGTGTCATCCCTTTAAACCCTGGCACTTCACTCTGTTTGTTTTCACAGCTGCCTTGAGAACTTTTTCATGGTTTGTTCTCCAAGGCTTCGTCCTTGCTTCTGTCCCCATCCTTCTGACGCCTTGCTGTAATTTATAATCCCTGAAGACACTGGCTTCTCCTGATTATAGCCCCTGCCTTCAGGCAGCAGGCCATGCCTTTGGAGCTCACAGCCTCATCTCTTTCTTCAAAATTTTTATCTGTCTTTCAATAGTGAATCAAATCTCACTTCATCTTCACTTCTTTTTGTGGCTTCCTTTATCTGTACTCATTCCTTCCCTCCTTCGATTCAGAATTCCATCCATGCTTGGTTGTTGTCAAGAACCTGCAAGGCCCCCTACTGATGGAAGGGAAAGGGGAGATGACTCCCCCGCTGGGGACGGGAGCTGTGATGTAGGCCTGGCTTTTCCGAGGACCAGATATGATGGCAAGAAAGTTACCAGATCCTTATCTATAGAACAGGGATATGTGGTGGGTTACATGGTATTGTCCCCCTTTGCAGTGAGATCAATGACTCTTTGAACAGTCACTCAAGTGCTTGATGGTCTCATTTGGCAGAAGCCAAAGAGCACCTTGCCCAAGCAGGTGTGTGGTTATTCTTTTGAGTTCCTGGTATTTGGAGGCAGCATCGCACACCACAGCTCCAGGTGGCAGACCCACCCCTACTTACCCCATACCTACTTAGCCATCAGCTTATCCTGGATGGACTCAGGTCCACCAGGAGGCAGTGACTGCACACAGCAGGGGCTCATAGGAATTTCTAATCCACTTAGCCCATGGCCCTTTTTCCTGTATTCTAGAGGAAGTAAGACATTTGGTTTTAAATCAGAAAAGATTGTTTGAAATGGGTCCTGAGAAAGCCAACTCTCTCACAGAGGAGTGGGACCAGGAGTATGCACCAGGAAAACAAGAAAAGGCAGAAAAACACTCAAAGTCTCCACAAGGTGAGTTGAGACAAGCTTGTGGACAAGCTGAACATTGGCTGCGTGGAGTATGCACGTGCGGCTCACTCTTGGTTGTTCTTTTTTATAACTCATTTGTTACAAAAAAACCTTTTCTGACTGTGGAAGTAAACGTATGTTTTAAAGGAAGATACAGTGAGTATAGAAAAGTAAAAAAGCAGGAAAAATAAAAATTCATCACCAGTTGTAATTAGTATAACACTTTGGTTACCATGGTATAGTGAATTTGTTTTTGTTCTTGAACTTTTTTTTTTAATATGAAGTTACCCTGGATGTGAACAGTATTTCTGTATTCTGAGATTATTTATGTGTCATCACAAGCACTTTTCTGTTTTCTTATGAACTTTGCATTAACTTTGTTTGTGATGACTGAACAGTCTTGCATCTTCTGGGGGACTGCAATTTGCATAGTCGTTCCCCATATGTGGGAGCTTGGGGATCTTGGGAGTTTACATTCTCGTAAACTGTGGTGAAGCAACAATTTGATATGCAATAGATTTTTGTCTTTTCTCTATGGGGGCAATATATAAATTCATGCAGGATTCTGCTTGTATACTCATGATTTAGTCACTCAGGTGTTACTGGCAAACCTTTTTTACTGAATGCATACCGTGAACCAGGCCCTCTGCCTGCATGCAGCACCACGGAAATGTGTAAGGGGCATCATTTTGTAGTGAACTAGCACATAACAAGAAGTTTAGTGACATTTGCTAATATTTCCAGATTCTCACCAAGCAGAGCCTGAAACTTCTTCCAGGAATAGTGAGGAATATGAAAAGTCACTCAAAATGGATGATTTTACCTCATTTCGGTAAGGCTGGAACCATGTTATTGTGGAGGAGGAGCGGTCATACTGGCCCTATTCTTGTTAAGCTGCACTCACTCAATCCAGACAAAATGAAAGGAACAGAGAAAGAAAGCGAAGCATGTTTATGTGCACATGCACCAGGATTGCACTTCCTGCCTGCAGCATTTCTTCTCATTTGATCCTCATAATGGTCACTTTTAAAAAAAATAATGAAGATTTGGTTTTTCTTCATCTTTCTGTAATTCTGAATCCTGAAAGTTTAGCAAGTCATTACACTCATACATCTGTAACCCCTTTCTCACATGACAGGCACACATATACTACACCAGATGTCAGTACAGTATTCTCTCCACAGTACAGACATTTAAGTAGATGAATTTCACGTGAAAGAGGTGCTAGGCATTCCTGTGGTCTGGCCCAGTGAAAAGCAAACATCAGAGTGCCATTTTAGCAGTCAGTTGACATGATCAGTATAACCATTATATATTTTCATAACTCATCCATAGATGAGAAACACAAGACTGTGCATCCTATGCGTAGGATCAGATTCACTGGCAACCAGAAATCATGCTAACGCATCACTAACCATGTGTTGGCAGGGCTGCAGCTTCGCCTTCATTTCCTCCACGAGACTCACTTTCCTTACCAGGATTCACCAAGCACTGGATCTCCACTCACCATCTGGAGATTTTGCACAATGATGATGGTTTTGATACAAATTAGACAGTCCATAATTCATAAACACATTGCCTTCAAATAACTTTCTAGTGGATACAATGCTCACTTTTCCATTTTCGACACAAGGTGACTGAGTGGTTCAGTGATTTGCACAAAGTCATAAAACTAGAATTTTTGGTTAAGCAAGGATTCCAACCCACACCCTCAGACTCCTGAGCCTTGGCCTTTCCTGCTGTGAGTCTTTGGGGCCTTAGGTGGCCTGAGAAGGTGTGGAGAAGGAGGCTCCTTGTGTGCTGTGGAGACATGGGGAGCGGAAGCCTTGCTGCTGGTCTGGGGAATGTGATGAGGAACCAGAGCATGTACCACTGGACAGTCTTTCCTTTCCTTCCTTTTCCTCCCCTCCCCTCCCTTCTCCTCTCTTGCTCCTCCTTCCTCCCCCCCCACTCTCCTCTCTCCCATCCTTCTTTCCTTTCTTCTGTCTTTCTTTCCTGTCTTTCTCCCTCCTCTTTCATCCCATTCCTCTCTCCCTTTCTTTCCTTCCTTCTGTCCATCTTTCTATGTTTTCCAGGCTGGCCTTGAACTCATGGGCTCAAGCAATCCTCTGTCTCAGCCTCCCAAGTATCTGGGCCTAAAGGTGAAGTTCACTGTGCCTGGTTAACAATCTTGATTTTTGAAATTGTTTTTGCATTTAATTTATAGATTAATTTGGGAAGAACTGACATTTTTTGTGGTCACATTAGCCCATCAATGATCAGGGCATATCCTTTTACTTAATTCAGACCTCTTTTATGACCTTTACTGGAGTTAGTTCCTCCTTCCTGTAGATGTTGTAGCAATTCCTATATGTGAATTCCTAGATGTTATAGTTTTAGCTACTTTCATAAAAGCATATTGTTTTCCATTATATTTCCTAGTTGGCTGTACCTTGATGGTGTAAGTGTGGTCTGTAGACCACTGGGTCAGCACTTCTGGGGAGCTCAGTAGAACTCAAGTCTCCAGCCTCCCCTGGCTCCTGAGGTGTAATGCACATTTTATTTGACAGGATCCCCATCCAATTCACATGCACATTGAGTTTGAGAGGCTGGTCAGAAAATGTTATTTTGAAACATCTATCTTCATCTAGTGTAGTAAATAGAGTCTCAGGTCTGGCTTCTGAGTTTTCATGGTTATTAACTTTTCTCTTTGTGGATTTTCTAGGCGGAATACTTCAAGACCACCAACTACTTCTGTGGCAGGAACAACCATGATGGAGATCAAGGAATCAATTGAGAAAACATCATTAACTAGCTTAACCAACATATTAGAAAGGCATAGGTCTCAAAGTAAGTGAGGATGGGATTTTGAAATTTTTGAGACAGAGTCTCACTAAATATAGTTCCAGGCTGTCCTGGAACTTGAAATTTTATAATATAACTAGACTTGGAAAATTAGGAAATATTTCAAAATCTGGCTACTTCAGTAAGATTCAGTAAGGTATCTGACTAAGTGCTATACTGTACTACATGCACTTTCACCTTGCCCATCTCTCCATCCCAGCCTCTCCCTCTGGTCCTAACCCACTCCACAATGTTTATGTTTGCCTGATCCATGATTTGGGCCTAGGGAGACACTACCGCCTGGTGGACACTTTCAAGTAACAGTTACAATTCTATAGGAGAGCTGCTGTGGTGGGGTGGGTACATGGCTTGTTGGGGTTATGGAAAGACTCCCAGAAAGACAAACCATTTGTGGAAAGGACACAGCCTCCCATGTCATGGGGCCTGCTCATGCCATGCAACCCTAGTTACAGACTGGGGAAAGACAAGAGTCCTCATGCTCAGCCTAGATCCCCTCACCAATTTTCAGTAAGCAGCTGGGTGTCTAGTATGAGGTAGGAACTTTAGAGCCCCATGTCACTGCTGCCTCCTGGGATGGGCCATTTCATTGTCCAGCTACAGCTGCTGCAAGTCACCAGGGCTTGTTTCCTCACCTCTCAACCTGTCTTCTCCTTCTGATGACCTGGCTCTGGTTCAACAATCTGAGTCTGCACAGGGAAGCGGCTGGGAGTTGGCTCTCTGCTGAGTGTATGGACATGAATAAAACTTGTCTGTGTTTTAAGGCTTGTGAAAACTAGTCCACACTTTCACATCTGAAACCTTTCAACTCCTTTGGAGTTTTCCCTTTGCAGACTAAACAGCATCACTCCTTTTTAAAATTGCTTTAAGCATTCGATGAGATTTTCAAGCCATTCTTTTTTATTTTGGAATAAAGATAAGAAAAGTCACAGAAAAAAACCACAAGTATGCACCCACAACTTAGGTGTTAAATTTTGCCACATTTCTCTCATTTTTTCTTTTTGAAAGAAATAAAGGTAATAGAGTGTAAGTGCCCTTTTCTTCCTGTTCTTAGAAAGCATGCCCTCCCTGATCAAAGTCGGTGCCCCTCGCACTGATCTTTGTTTTATGAGGTACAGAAATGGTGTGATGTCCCACAAACTTTCCTGCAACTTGCTCTTTACAGTCAGCTTTATTTCTGAGATTTGTTCATGTCCATATGTAAGTCCAGCACTCACATTCTGACTTCTGCAATGCACTCCATTAGATGGAGTGTCATCCTTTATCTGGTCCCTGTCGAGGGCACTGAATTTCCCTAACGTCTTACTGTCTCCAGCACTGTTATGGTGAGCATCTGTGTACTTGTGTGAGGACCCTGGGTGTTTGCTTTGGGGCAGGACCCCCAGTACTGGCTGTTACTCTGAGTTGGGCCTCCTTACCCTGCCAACAGTGTTGAGGTCCTTCTCCACCCACCTCCAGGCTCTGCAGGTAGGTGCTGAATTCCTGGTCCCTTGTAAGCATTTCATAGACTTCTTTGTTTGCTTTCACAGTTAAAGGGAAAGAGTCAGAGTGGAAAAGGAAAAGCCCTCAGAGAGGGAAGAAATCTCGAGCAGAAGAGGAAACAGATTCCAAGCTAGCAGAGGCCTGGAAGCAGAGTGCCTTCTCCCTCCAGCTGGCAGTCATGCCTCTCCTTGCTGGTAGCTAATAGTTCCTGACAGTTTCTGCTTGTCTTGTCACACATGTCCATATTTGGGATGCTCCTGGTGATCGAGCCCCTGCTCTGTACCATCTATCATCCTCACTGCCACCTCAGGATTGTGGGCATAATTGTCTCCACTGTACAGAGGAAGAAATAGAGGCCCAGGGAGGTCAGGTACATTGCGCAAGATCACACAGCTAGGAAGTGCAAAGTCAGGGTTTGAACCCAGGTCTGTTTGGTTCCAAAATCCAAGGAAACCTGCAAGAATATGTGGCATGATTTTATTTGTTAATAGGCACTGCATTTTATGAACACTTTCCTACAGGTTTTTTTTTTTTTTTTTACAAGAACTAGTAAAGGGAATGAAGGAAGAGAACCAGTTTTTACTGAGCATATATCCGGTGTCTTACATATGTACATCATTTTCCTCTCAGTGAACCTGTGGTGGTGGTGTTGGGGACAAGGGTCTTCACTGTCACACTCAGGGAGATTCAGCAACTAACCCAAGGCCACACTGGTCAGTGGCAGAACAAGGATTTGGGTCTCTTGCTTTGTAAGATTTACCACAATTTTTAAACTAAGTTTTCTACATTTTGGTAAACAATAATTACGTTTATATATTTTATGAAAGATAAGAATATATTTTGGGTAAAATTATGCAATTTTGTTTAAAGCATGATAATATGGGGGGCTTTTGACCGGCAGGTGGTATGTGTGTCCTCTGCTGGCTGTTATGTGGAGGCTCAGGCTCTGGTCTGACCTTGTCAGGCCCACAAGTGTCAGGACAGTCATCATCTTCACAGCTCTTGGATTGATGGTGATACATTTTGAGACAATACTATTAACTTTTTTTTGTGTGTGTGGTACTGAGGCTTGAACTCCTGCTTGGTAGGCTTTGCTAGACAGGCACTCTATCACTTGAGCCACTCCACCAGCCCAGAGAAAATACTATTAACTTTTGAGCTTGCTTGTTTTCAGTGCTGTGGTGGGACCAGGGCCTCCAGTATACTAGGCAAGAGCTGTACCACAGAGCCACACCCCAGCCTTAGTTTTCATTTTAAGTGGAGTGTTGAAAACCAGCCTTCCTCTAAAGTTGGTTATCTCCAACTGCCTTAACTTCCCTGTGGCTCAGAATCCCTTGTGCACAAGTGCTGTAATGTGAGTGACTTCCAGGGTCTCGTCTCCCTGGCCCGGCTGACTGCTCCTTCACTTTGCTGGGAGAGATGGGAGAACCTCACAAGACACCTGGCTCACAGGGAGAGCCAGGGATGTGCAGCCCTTTTCTGAAGCCTGTGCTGTCCACGATGTGCAAATGGCAGGTGGTGCAAGAACCTTGGTGACAAACAGACTTCGAATCCCAACCCAGACACTCACTACCACATTATCTGCTCTCTCTGGGCCCCAGTTTTCCTATCCATAAAGCGGGGATGATAATTTCTACCTGAGTGTTGTCTTAAGGGTCACAGGAGGTAGCAAGAGACCTTGCACACAGTAGGACTCTGGGGGCTGATGGGAAGGTAGCAGCTGCCTCTCCAGGACATTGGGAAGGCTGGTGCAGGGCACTGGGACTTCAGCAAGGAAAATCTGCTCCCTTACATGGATGACAGTATAGTCATAAACTGGGACTGGCTTCAAAATGCAGATGATGTCTGGTTTTGCCAGAAAATAATGACATGAGGTTACATCCTCAACTTCAAATTAGGCCATAGATTTTTATGACCTTCATGGTAGATATTGGTTGTCCAGAATCCCAGTATGGTTTTAGAAGGATTTCAGGCTTGGGAATCAATTTTTTCCTTCCTTCCTTCCTTCCTTCCTTCCTTCCTTCCTTCCTTCCTTCCTTCCTTCCTTCCTTCCTCTCCCTCCCTCCCTCCTCCCTCCCTCCTTCCCTCCTTCCTTCCCTCCCTTGCTTCCTTCCCTGCCCCTCCTCTTTCTCTTTTGGTTGTACTAGGAATTGAATTCAGGGCCTTGCTCTTTCTAGGCAGGCACTCTACCACTTGAGCTGTGCCTGCAGCTTTGGTTGATTTTTCAGATAGGGTCTCATGTTTTTGCCTGTGATCCTCTTACCTCCACTTTCTGCATAGCTAGGGTTAAAGTGTACCCCACCACACCCAGCTGTGAACTCTTATTTTAAAAGGAAATGGTAGAAAATGGAGGGCCATGGTGAGCCAAGTTGAACTGGGTTGGATGCTGGCATCACAATTCATTAGCCAAGAGATTTTGGATGATGACTTAACATCTCTGGGCCTCAGTTTCTCCATCTGTAAAGTAGAGGTGACAGCAACCACAAAATTTTGTTTTAAAGAGCAAATGACATTAACACATGTCTGGAGAGGGCACTTGAAGGAACATAAACATTGCCCCACCTTTTCCTTCACTTGGGAATAAGATTCTCAACATGGAGTTGTGTCCCTGGGGGCCATTGATGGTATGTGGAAGCACTTTGGTCATCACAGCTGGGAGTGGGGTGCTACTGGCATCTAGCAGGTTGCTGCTACATATCCAACAGTTCAAAGAATGGTTATCTCAAAGAACGAGCAGTCCCCAAATGTCCGAGGTTGAGAGACCTGAGTTATGGCTGCCATCTCTCAAACTCCTAATGATGATATCAGCACATGTTTGTTCCAGATATTTCTTCTGTCTTGGGCAGTGTCTTATTTGAAATAGCTTACTAAGTTATAGAACTCAAACCATAATTAGTTATAGCTCTGATTTGCTTCATGAAGGAGAATCATGCATATGGGGGGCTCACCTATTCATGGCTTGTTTTGGAAGTGACTACTCTCCCTGAGTGAGAGCAGTTTGGCTTTTTTGTTTGTTTTTGTTTTGTTTTGAGTTACTGGGGTTTGAACTCAGGGCTTCATGCTTGCTAGGTACATGCTCTACCACTTGAGCCATTCTGCCAACCTGCAATTTGGCTTTTATGTGCCCTAGAAATACATTTACAGGCACTTTGAAAGGAAAAGGACTGATTGCTTTTTGAGCATGTGCTGTGTATTGGTAGCACCCCTAGCATCTTCACCATCTCTCTTAGCCCTCTGAGCCTGAGAAAAGTATTATGTGAAGAAACTGAGTCTCAAAAAGACTAGCTTGTCACATAAGTAACAGATCTGGGATCTGAACTCATATTTCTCTGCCTCTAAAATTTAAGCTGCCTTAATTATTTTATTTCATTTTATTTTTGCCTACCCTGGTATGTCTCTGACTGGTAAAATGTAGGTAGGGCCCTTTTTAATAGGAAAAGCATTCTCACAGATATCTGTGTACCATGAAGTGCCTCAACTTACCCCTCCCCCCTTTTTGTAGTTGAACAGTTGCAAAAATTGTCATGGTGGGGGTATGCATATATAGGTTTGGCTCAAATGTGCCAGTTATATTAGACACAGGTCTCTGTGCTCATTAGAACAGTTGGCTCCCCGAGCCCCCTGTGCACACACTGACATTACTGCTCCTGATGTTGTACTGTTCTGCCTGGAGCAGCTCTACCCAAGGGTATTGTCTTCTACCTGGGCAGTAGCCCACAGCCACGCAGGGCCACTGAACACTTGAAATGTGGTCAGCATGGTTAAGGAACTGCACTTTAAATTTTATTTAGTTTTAATTTAAGTTCTAATCACCCATGTGGCCAGGAGGTATTATAGACCAGGAGGTACTATATAGAGGACAGCATGGGTCTAGAATTGTGGTTCTAGAATCACCTGGGGAGCTTTTGAAATCTCTCAGCATGAGGCCATACTCCAGGCCAATGAACTCAGGGTTCTAGGATGGCATGCATACCCAGATGATTCAGGAAATATGTATCAAGATGACAAAAATTAAATGAGAAACATTCAGTCATCAGAGGAATTGATGGGACTTTAGTTTGAGAAATTGGAATATAACATGCTGCCTGTGGGCATTTCCTAATTCTTTCTTACTCTTGTGGTGCTGGGGATCCTACCTGGGGCCTTGTGTGTGCTAGGAAAGTAACTCTGCCATTGAGCTACATCCCCAGTCTTTGGTTTAAGATACAGGGCCTTACTGTGTAGCTGAGGCTGGCCTGGAACTTGAGCCTCCTGCCTCAGCCTCCTGAGTGCAGGTGTCCAAGTCCATGCCTGGTATCTCAGTTCTTTTTTTTCTTTTCTTTCAAGTTTTCCTTTTGGATTCTGAGTTTATCATTAGCTCTTCTCAGGTTACTTTACCCTCTGAACATACCTGGGCTGTCACGAGTACAGGACTAATGCTGTATTTCCTCCCAGGATGGCAAACTGTCCTGAATCGCGGCAGTGAGAAGTCTGCCAACATTTTGGATTGCTTTTTGACTTTAAAAACAGAAGTTCCCATCATGACTGAGGAGCAAAAGCAGGACTTAAACCCCCTGACCATAAAGATAAAGTGTGCCTCCTGCCTTCCATCACAACCTGTACCCATTCATGAACTCGAGGTAAGCATGAAGCCATCCCCCAAGTGAAGAGTACCTCATCCCACCCAGCTGCCCATTATGCTTCGTCCCAGTAGCCTTCAGTGAGACATGTGAATTAGCATCCACATTTTGCAATTTAGGATCCCACAGGAAGACATGAAAAGAAATTAGTCTCCTGAGATGGGAGCCATCTTATCTGAGGTTTCTCACCGAACTTCTATAAGTGGAGGTTGCTAGCCTCTCTTTAGGAAAGTATGGGCTTCTCTGTTAATAGTGACAGTATTCGGCTAGACACTTGCTCATTGTGAACCGACTAGCTTTTGTGCTACTGTTTATCCTGGGAATTCCTCTTCACTTTCTTGGTTGGATCTTTGTCTCTTGGACTGTACATCTTCCTCTTCATTTGCTCTTTAGTTTTGCTGGAGCACATCCTTCCAGTAACTTCTTGAGAAAAGGTCAATGGGATATTTCTTCCCCCCATATTTTTTTTCATATGTTTGAGTGTATCTTTTTTTTTTTGGAGGTACTGGGGTTTGAACTCATGCTTGCTAGGGCAGGTGCTCTTACCAGTTGAGCCACACTGCCAGTCCTTCATATGTCTCAA